TGTGTGTAAGCTAACCTGAATACTTTTGACAATTGAATCAAAAAAAAAAAAAAGACATGAATAATAGCACTGTCTAATAGTTTCCAAGTTCAAGTCTCAAAATCTAGCTCGAACATGGGGACGTACCTAAGATGTGTAATACCTATGTTATATCATTCCTAATATATCAAATGTGTAAATTAATTTGAATACTCTTTCTTTATTTCAATGTTATTGTCAGTAGGTCATGCCGACTAGTTCAATGTGCGGCATAATTTCTGCACAATAGTCGGAATGAGGACAGATCTCTCCCATGGTGAGATTTGACCCGTTGGAATGGTGGATCCGGCAACAAGGAATAGATTGAGAGGACCAAAAGGGGCCTAAAGGCTGGAGATGAATTGTTTTTGGTGCTGTCGAACCAATCCTAGTGATTCACGAGGGACTCCTAAAACAAAAAAGAAGGGTTAGAAGGGCGTCGGAGTGTTTTTCAGGGTATCCCCTCCGACGGTCAAGTCAGTTCTTTGAGAGAGGGAAAGAAAAAAACACTGTTTGAGGCTCTTGAGAGACGATTTTGCGTACCTTTGCAATGTGTTATTGTAGAATATTTATACCTTCCAAAACTCATCATTACTGATAGTTTAGATAGTAGGTACCCTTCAAAGATGGGACAGCGTGCCCCATACTTTTTATGGAGAATGTCCCTATCTTAATTGCTTGCACTGTTGGACATTCAATGCTCTTTCTCCAATGTTGAGGCATTGAATGCTCGGATCCCAAAACATTTAATTTTTTTCCTTCTTAGCTTATCAAGCCATGTTATATGTCTTATCAACAGATGATGCATTAAATGTTTGTCTTTATTAGCCGCACATCAGCAGGGGTAATTATGTCTTTTTACCCTTCACCCTGCTTTTTATGCCATGCGTCCGGCTCTCTTTGGCTGAATGTCTAGTTCATCGTGTCATACTGACTCCATTATACAGAGTGTCTTCATAATTACTAGCCTAGTCTAGTTCGGTTCAATTTTCAATCACTAGCTTCCTTAAAAACCAATGACTTAGAGATTGATGCCAATCGGTTCTTCAGGGCCGAGAGAACTCCTCAGAGCCGAGGGAGTATACCATAAAACCAAGGAATCCATCAGTCGGGGCAGGTGAATACTGAGACCGAGGATACATCGCCGGGGGCGAGGGGAGTCCCTTGGGACTGAGGACACGCGTCATTAATCCTGTAATCTTCTAAAAATGTCCCATCATTCAACTAAGTGCTTGGATGCTTTCTGGGCAGTTTCCTACCTATATACATGGTACTAGTCAAAGGAGTAATTTGGTCTTGAACAAGCAAACAAATTCAAATTTGTTTGAAATTGTTGGGGATTCTGTAGATATTTAAAAGAGCTGATGTTATTTTCCGGATGTTGATAGGAGGGTTGGTGAGTTGGTTGTTGGTAAGTTGTGATAGCGAACCATTCTTTTTCTTCTTGTTATTTTGATTTTTCTTGCTATCACCATCTTCCATTTTTTTTTTCTTTATCCAATAGGCTTTTGGGTGCAGCATCCAGGGTTTAGCTTCGTCGGAGTTGCTTCCTCTTTTCAGAGAGTAGCAACTTCTGGGGCATGGTTGGATGGTTTTAGAGCTAGGAATTATCAAATTCTACTAAACTCAACCCTCACTTTTGTTTATATGAGATTTATATATGAATCCTATTCATATCTGTATTTAGTAAATAATATATATACATGAGAATCCACGGATTTATCATAATTATCAATATATATTTATTTTATAAATGACTATATTACTCATTGGTCAATCTAATATGTACATATATTTAATTATATAGATGAGCAAATGGAGGAGTTGAGATATGATTTGATAGATGAAATATTTTATTACGGATAAAAGTATCATTTGACATAGTTAACCTAAGTTAGGATATATGCAACCCACCTACCATCTAGGTTTACCCAATCTCATATGAGTTTAATACACAAGGTCACTTAGTGGCCAAGATATTAATCTCAAGTTTAAAAGTACTAATCAAATATGAAATTACAAAATTTATCGAACTATTTTTCTTAAACTCCCTTTCAAACCCACTAAACAAACAGGCTCCTCATATATACAACTCACCAAAATTTATCTGTTTTGATGCGACATTTGATATGATTCAGTAACATTTTTATAACTATAATTATTGGACTTTTTTATTGAGTTCATATCGCTAGATAAATTATTAAGTCAATGATTTAGATTAAATTCGTATATCCCAAAAGTAGTGCTCTTTTTTATACTAGTACCAAACTTTTTTTACGCCAATTCCACATTTGCTTTATTAAGTGGCAAAACTATGGTCCAGCAAAAGAAAATAAAAAATAGAAAGTTTGACACAACTCTATTTTCAAGTATGTTTTGTCTCTTGTTGAGTAACGTTGTTAAAACCTAAAAAAAACTAAAATAATTTGCTGATATCAATGATGTGTCAAGTGATAGAATTATTGTGGCAGGAACTTTTAAAACTTTTTTATCGAAACTTTCAACAAATTAGATTAATTTCTTTGGTTTTTTTAGGAGTCCATTGTGGGGTAGGTGGGTTGTTGACTTCTTTTTGCTTGATTGCGATTATCTCCTATATATTTTTTCTTGAATTTCTTTCTTAGTGGATCATTCATTGTTAATGAATAAATAGTTTATCAAGAAGGAAATTAAAAAATAAATATATTGGATGAAATTTCACTATTTTTTCCGCTAGAACTGGATAGATTCTCATCGGCCCATGGATCTCCTTTTTAATCCAGTGTATGTTTAGTTTGGACTTTAGACGAGCAATTGGACTAAATTAATCGGGTGATCACTTATTACCAGGTTTGAATCATATATATAGAGTCCAATATGACTTTTTCTTATGACACTGATGCTGTATTATCCAATAACATCACATACATGATACAAATCAATCTCATGTGACAGTTAATGTAAAACCAATCCCTAGAGGTATTAGGACATAAAATGACTAGGCTGCCCACTAAATTCCCAGAAAATTCTTTTTCAAACCTAGTTTAGGATGATATTCAATCCAAGGGGGGCTTTTATTTTTCAAATCAAATTCATTTGATTTCAAAACAACAATCAACTAAACTAAGTAATTTATCACCGGTTAACGCCTTTCTGAAGATCCCTTTGGCGTAGGCAAAGAGGGTGAGGCCACTTTTGCAGCTCTTTATAAAAAAAAAAAAAGTGGAACTCAAATGCCACCCCCTTCCCCCATTTCTGTTGATCTTTNTAAATGACTATATTACTCATTGGTCAATCTAATATGTACATATATTTAATTATATAGATGAGCAAATGGAGGAGTTGAGATATGATTTGATAGATGAAATATTTTATTACGGATAAAAGTATCATTTGACATAGTTAACCTAAGTTAGGATATATGCAACCCACCTACCATCTAGGTTTACCCAATCTCATATGAGTTTAATACACAAGGTCACTTAGTGGCCAAGATATTAATCTCAAGTTTAAAAGTACTAATCAAATATGAAATTACAAAATTTATCGAACTATTTTTCTTAAACTCCCTTTCAAACCCACTAAACAAACAGGCTCCTCATATATACAACTCACCAAAATTTATCTGTTTTGATGCGACATTTGATATGATTCAGTAACATTTTTATAACTATAATTATTGGACTTTTTTATTGAGTTCATATCGCTAGATAAATTATTAAGTCAATGATTTAGATTAAATTCGTATATCCCAAAAGTAGTGCTCTTTTTTATACTAGTACCAAACTTTTTTTACGCCAATTCCACATTTGCTTTATTAAGTGGCAAAACTATGGTCCAGCAAAAGAAAATAAAAAATAGAAAGTTTGACACAACTCTATTTTCAAGTATGTTTTGTCTCTTGTTGAGTAACGTTGTTAAAACCTAAAAAAAACTAAAATAATTTGCTGATATCAATGATGTGTCAAGTGATAGAATTATTGTGGCAGGAACTTTTAAAACTTTTTTATCGAAACTTTCAACAAATTAGATTAATTTCTTTGGTTTTTTTAGGAGTCCATTGTGGGGTAGGTGGGTTGTTGACTTCTTTTTGCTTGATTGCGATTATCTCCTATATATTTTTTCTTGAATTTCTTTCTTAGTGGATCATTCATTGTTAATGAATAAATAGTTTATCAAGAAGGAAATTAAAAAATAAATATATTGGATGAAATTTCACTATTTTTTCCGCTAGAACTGGATAGATTCTCATCGGCCCATGGATCTCCTTTTTAATCCAGTGTATGTTTAGTTTGGACTTTAGACGAGCAATTGGACTAAATTAATCGGGTGATCACTTATTACCAGGTTTGAATCATATATATAGAGTCCAATATGACTTTTTCTTATGACACTGATGCTGTATTATCCAATAACATCACATACATGATACAAATCAATCTCATGTGACAGTTAATGTAAAACCAATCCCTAGAGGTATTAGGACATAAAATGACTAGGCTGCCCACTAAATTCCCAGAAAATTCTTTTTCAAACCTAGTTTAGGATGATATTCAATCCAAGGGGGGCTTTTATTTTTCAAATCAAATTCATTTGATTTCAAAACAACAATCAACTAAACTAAGTAATTTATCACCGGTTAACGCCTTTCTGAAGATCCCTTTGGCGTAGGCAAAGAGGGTGAGGCCACTTTTGCAGCTCTTTATAAAAAAAAAAAAAGTGGAACTCAAATGCCACCCCCTTCCCCCATTTCTGTTGATCTTTAAAGATTAACGTGTAGTACGGACTCGACTAAGGAAATATCTACTCCGTAAGAAACTAAAAGCATCAAAGGACATAAATTTCTCTCCTGAAATCGTAGTACAATTGCCACATAATACTCATAAAAAAGCATTCAACAATGCTGACCCCCACAACAAAAAACAACAAACAAAACGTTAAAAGAACAATAAAACAAATCAGAACAAAACACATGTTTTGCTAATCTCTACGCTACTCCAACATCAACCATGCCTTGCCTGGAAATCCTTCATGAAAGCAACCAACTTCTCAACTCCAGCCAATGACATAGCATTATATATCGAAGCTCTCATCCCTCCAACCGACCTATGTCCCTTGAGCTGCACCATATTCTCCTTCGCCGCCTCCTTAATAAACTCAGCCTCCAATTCAGACTTCTCCAATGTAAACGGAACATTCATCAATGACCTCACAGATTTCTCAACGGGGCACCTATAGAACCCATTGCTCTGATCAATTGTATCATAAAGAAGCTGACCCTTCTTGATGTTCTTCTTCTCAATCTCAACCAAACCACCTTGTGCCAACAGATCTTCAAACACCAACCCACACATATAAATACCATAACAAGGAGGCGTATTGTATAATGAATTGTTCTCAGCGTGAATCTTGTAGTCCAACATCACAGGAGTGGTTGGCTGTGCATTTCTAATCAAATCTTTCCTGATAATAACAATAGTCACCCCAGAAGGACCAACATTTTTCTGCGCACCCGCATAGATCACCCCAAATTTGCTCACTTCCACTGGCTTTGAACAAAAATTCGACGACATATCAGCAATCAAAATCGCATCTTTGTTCTTGGGGGTTGGATAGTTCTTGAATTCAACCCCGTGAATGGTCTCATTTGTGCATATATGCAAATACTTGGCAGACGGGTTTTGTTCCAAGGCATCGAAATCAGGAATCTTTGTATATTTCTCCGATTTACCTGACCAAATCACAGTGGGTTTGCAGAATTTGGTCGCTTCCTTGAAAGCCTTATCGCCCCAAGACCCGGTGACAATATAATCAACCGGATCATCGGGGTTGCAAAGATTCAACGGGACAGAGGCGAATTGGGTGGTGGCACCACCTTGGAGGAAGAGCACGGCGTATTCCGACGGAATATCAAGGAGGGCACGCAGATCTGACTCCGCTTTCTGAATTATAGAGAGAAATTCCTTGCCTCTGTGGCTCATCTCCATGACGGACATACCCGAGCCACGCCAGTTGTAGAGCTCAGATTCAGCTTTCTTGAGGACAATTTCGGGGAGGGTGGCGGGGCCGGCGGCGAAATTAAAGACGCGATCTGAGGATTGGGAGGTGGCGGCGGGGCGATCTTGGAGTGGGGTGGTGGTTGAACAAGTGATTGATATGGGTTTGTAGGTGGTGGTGGCAGCGCGTGATGGGTTGATTTGAAAGCCTGTGAATTGGGTTGTTGCGGTGGTTCTGTGGTTGGGTTTTTTGAGGAGGAGAGAGTGCGGGGGAGCTGCTGACATAGCCATGGTGGTTGGTTTCGTGGTGGTAGTGAATAAGATCTAAATGTTGCCAATTCTGTGTTATTTTGTGGGTGTGTATATAGGGAGAGAGAGGTTGGGTTGACAAATAATTATTTTAGATCTGAGAGAGTGATTATTGATTGGGGAATTGATACTGCCAAGGGGAGTTGTTGGGACGTACGGTATTGCATTGCATAAATACTGGACGGACGCTTGATACGATGTCGTTTTGTTGAGCTTTGACACGAAGGACACAATGAATAGATATAAAATTACGGAATAATAATAATAATACAATACCACTAAAGTCATAATTTTAAAAATTTTAAGTTGCATTGTTTAAATATAACAAACTTCAATTAACCTATCGGACAATTTTAAATAAACTCATTCAATGACCATTAACATCTCTCTTAAATTTTTACCATACATTCAAGCATGGATTTCCGCTAGTGTAAAGTTATAACTAGGACATTCATATGTTTACTCAAATTTAAAAAAAGACAAATTAAAATTTAAATTAGAACAAACTCAAATTTAAAGGAAGTTGAAATATGGTCATTGAATCTTTTAAAAAAATGACATCTAATTATTGAAGATTTAAGTAAATATTTGAGTTTGTTTTTATTTAAGTAAAAAGTTGAGTCTCCTTTCATTTGATATAAGTTTGAGTAAAAAATTGGATCTTATTTTTAATCTACTTTTACTCTTTGAATAAGAGTTTGAGAATTGTTTAAAAAATCAAAAAATAAGAGTTTGAGTAACGAGTAAAAATGGTCTTCTTATTATTTATGATTGACCATAAAATATTATCAATGATCATGAATAGCTTCAATTAGTGTAACTTAATTTTTAAAAATTATAACATGATCAATTATAATATTTTAAAATTTATTATGTTCTTTGTAGTTATTATAACTTATACAAGAAGAGGTTATAACCTTTAGATAGCTTACATTTTGTCAACTATTCCTTTGACCCTGAGCTAATCAACATAATTTGAACTAGTTTAAGAATATGTCTCTTGATTAATAAAGGTGATTGACTCTTAAGGGTGTGACAAGTCTCGAACATAAGATTTCTTATTTACAAGAGTTTAAGATTAACCATTGAATCACTTTTAAAAATTTGTTTTGGTGAGTTTAATCACGATAAAGATGCATGTAGAATGAAGCGTAGGAAGATTCATGGATATGGTTATGACCGGTACTAAACTTTTGGGCATCATACAAAAAATAGATTTTAATCATACATCTTACGATAATTTATTTGTGTCCGTCAATTTTGAAAATGATAAAGAAAAGTAGTAAAATATATAAACTATATATGTGTCATGATCTGACCAATAAAAAATAGAATGTACATTGTACGGTACCCAAAATTTTTTTTTTCCTAATGAAATTAGACATAAAATTTCAGTCGTGGAAACCCCAGACATATTATCTTCTCTGCTCACATAAATAGCGATAGTTAACATATAATTATTTCGAAGTCATTGTGCTTTCCTTCATTCACCTTGAATATTGTTGCATAATTGCGAGGTAGAGAATGTCATTAGGCATTTAAATACCACTAATGCTACAGGGATATTAATGGATCGAAGTAGGAGCGGGGTGTAATCTCCATTCCCGTATCCATTTAAAAAAATTTTGTCCATCTCCGATGGGTTGAACAAGTAATTGATATGAGTTTGTAGGTGATGGTGGTGGTGGCAGCGTGTGATGGGTTGATTGGAAAGGCGGTGAATTGGGTTGTTGCGGTGGTTCTGAGGTTGGGTTTTTTGAGGAGAATAGAGTGCGGGGGAGCTGCTGACATAGCCATGGTTGTAGGTTTGGTGGTGGTGGTGGTGAAGAAGAAGAAGAAGATCTAGTTGTTGGCAACTCTTGTTATGTTGTGGGTGTGTATAGAGAGAGAGAGGTTGGGTTGGCAAATAATTATTAGATCTGAGATATACTTTATTGATTGGAGAATTGGTACTGCAAAGGGAGTTGTGGGGACGTACGGTATTACGTGAAAACTTACTGTAGACTTGATACGATGTCGTTTGTTGAGTTTTGACACGAAAGGAAGAGGCAATAGGTATAGCATTACAGTAATAATAATAATAATAATACAGTACCATGAAAGTTATAATTTTTTAAATTTTAAATTGCATCATTTAAATATAAAATTATAACTAATTATAATTATTTATGATTGACCATAAAATATTACCAAGGATTATGAATAACTTTAATTAGTTTATTTTAACCTTTAAAAATTATAACATGATCGATCATAATATTTCATACAATAAGAGGGAGAGGGAGCGGGAGCGGGAAACATATATATTTAAGTTAACTATCGATCAAAGCATCAATTGTCAAAGGGGTTCATTTGAGATTACTTAATGGTGTGTTTAGTAGGATTTAATAAATGATGAAATCATAAAAAATGATAGTGATACATTTTATTCTTTAAGGGGTGAATTTTTAGTTTTCTCCTCGGTATTTGGTGGGAGGTTTTTTTTTAGTATGGATGGAAACGTTAATATATATATATATAAATGCAAATTTTTATTAATATATTTATATATGAAATTAATATATACATAATATATAATATGTAATAGATAAATATAATATCTATATATATTAAAATATATAAAGATAAAAACATATATTTCAACAAAATAATTAATTTTTCATTCACTTTTTTCTTCTTTAAAAAGATAAATTTTTGATGAGTTAAAAAAAATACTAATCCTTCTATTTTTTTCATGCTTCTTATTTTTCTTTCAAACTAAATATAATCTCTTATTTATTATTTCTACTTTTTCATTGTATCAATCAAAGAGCTTGCCGGAGACTAACCTCCACTCGCATGCTTTTGTTGGTGGGATTGTGGGGCCGAATTAAATCAATATAATAAAGTGCAACATAAAAAAATAATTTTTGATTTTGTGGTGGAGATCGTTTTAAATGTTATTTGAAAATTAATTCAATGATTAATATTAACTCTCCAAATCTAATAGAAAAAATAAAGTCTTAAATATGTGTTTGAGGTGACTTTTCAAAAATATTTATAGGACTTATTACTTTTTATAAGTACTTTAAAAAAAAATAAGTAATATTTGAAATAACTTATTTTTATTACTTCTAAATAAGTCAAAAGTAGTTTTACTANGAAGAAGAAGAAGATCTAGTTGTTGGCAACTCTTGTTATGTTGTGGGTGTGTATAGAGAGAGAGAGGTTGGGTTGGCAAATAATTATTAGATCTGAGATATACTTTATTGATTGGAGAATTGGTACTGCAAAGGGAGTTGTGGGGACGTACGGTATTACGTGAAAACTTNTTTTTATTACTTCTAAATAAGTCAAAAGTAGTTTTACTACTTAAATAAGTAAGTAATAAAAAAATTAACTTCTACTTCTTTAAAATTATTTTTCTACAAAACACTTCACTATTACCACCACCACCACCACCACTGTTGTCGTCACCCGCTACCGATTGTTACTATCGCCGTTCACCGCCACCCCCCGCCATCATCATTATTCCATTCTTATATTTATTACATACCATCATCATCCCATCATTTTCATCGTTGCCTACCATCACCCATCGCCACCTANTTATTTCATTCTTATATTTATTACATACCATCAACATCCCATCATTTTCATCGTTGCCTACCATCACCCGTCGCCACCCATTACCACAACCCACAACCACCTGTCATGGCCACCTATTGTCACTCACCTTCACCATACCTATCACCACCCACTGTTACTCACCATCACCATTGTCATTCGCCTTCACCAAACACAATCATCGTCGCCCACAAGCACCCGTCGTCGTCCACTGCTAATTACACCCATCATTTGTTAGTAATATGCTCTAAGACCAATCATGTAGATAATGTTTTAGGGTTGTACTAGCAATATTCATTACTTAATTAAATAAAAGGGCAAGTTTATTTATCATGTTTCTACTTTATTTCATTTTAAATAATATAGTCCATAAAGTATAAGTTAAGAAAATAGTTTCTCAAGATGTTGAGAAATGGAGACATATACTTCTTAGTATTTAACTCTTAAATGTTCCTAATCATAAGATTATTATTTGGGCACTATGTAATCCAGATAGACTAGCACACACTATATTTACTCATATTTGATATGATGTGACTCGTCCAAGTCACTAGTGTTGGGACACTGAAGCAGGTGTGTGGGTGGTTGTTAGAGAACCAGTACATTGAACGTGACCATTGATTAACGTAGGATTTTTCATATAGAGTTTTACATACCTGTCAATGTTAAATCCTAAAGTTATAATTATGCAACTGATCCTTACACTTGAGACATTATAGTTGTCTTGTGCATGGACTTTTATGCTTTAATTATATAACATATTCATATACTAACCATGTAACTTGGATATATATTGTTGGACATAGTTTGGCATGCATGAAGACTTATGAGTGTACAAAATAGAATCTATCATCCTTAGTAATTAAAGGAAGAATGTCCTATGTGATCTTCTGGGATATGACTCTAAAAGTCTTTGGCCAAGACAGAATGACAATTAGAAAAGAGTTTCTAATTGATTATTAAAAGTTATAGTCCTAAGATTGAACACATTCGATTGAATTAGGAGTTTGACAGTAATTTTATACCTTAGTAATTCAATTGGAGCATTGTGTGATAGAAGGATTGAATTGCATGGCAACTATAGACTAAATGAGTTATTTACCTACTTTGTGCTATTTGGAGGTTGATCATGATATATTGTTAGGTGTCACTTATGATTAGTAGAAGCCCAAAGAATGAAATTAATATAAATATATTAATTGTTCTTCATAAAAGGAAAATTAGAAGAGTTCTAATTCAAGTTAAATTAGAAAGAGTTCTAATTTAAGATTCTACTTGTAATTAGTATCGAATGCCTATAATCGGGTATACTTGAACCTATAAGGTCACACATAATAAAATTGATTGGAAACTAAAGGATAAAAGAAAGACAATCA